TCCCTCATCACTTCTGGGATCAAACTTACCTAGGGAGTCTTTTCCATTATTGTGCACAAAGCACTTACATCCAAATGCCCTAAGATGGGATATATTTTGTTTTCTCCCTTTAAGTAAATCATAGGGAGTCTTCTCTACAAGAGTTTTAGTCATACATCTATTATAATGTAACATTCAGTGTTTACAGTCTCTGCCCAGAAGCTATGGGGCAGCTTACTAGAAAGAAGCATAGTCCTAGCCATGCCTTCAAGAGTTCTGTTCTTTCTTTCAACTACTCCATTTTGTCGAGGAGTCCTAGGGGCAGAGAAGTCATGATCTATACCATTTTCATTGCAAAATTCAGCAAACTTAGCATTTTCAAATTCAGTTTCATGATTAGACCTAATGGATGCAAGTTGATGTCCTAATTATTTCTGAGTTTTTCTAACAAAGGCAGTAAACATGTCAAATGCTTCATCTTTAGATGTTAGAAATAGTACTCAGGTAAATCTGGAATAATCATCAACAAATACCATTACATATTTCTTTCCACCTCTGCTAATGGTTCTTATTGGACCACAGAGATCCATATGGACCAGTTCCAACGACTTGGTTGTGCTTACCATTTTCTTGCTTTCGAAGGATGATCTTACCTGCTTCCCCCTTGCACAGGCCTCACAAACTTTGTCTTCCTTGAACTTGATGTTAGGTATCCCTATCACCAAGTCCTTAGAGACTAATTTGTTTAGCTGATTCATACTGGCATGACCAAGTTTTTTGTGCCACGGGAGGGGATCATTATCTAGCACACTTAGGCAGGTTAGTTCATTTTCTAAGAGAGTAGACAAATCTACAATGTAAACATTGTTAACTCTTTTTCCGTGCAAAACAATCTTGTCTGTGGTAAGGTTAATCACAAAGCATTTTGTAGCGGTGAATGCTACAAGGTTACCTCTATCACACAGTTGTGACACACTGATCAGGCTGTATTTCAAGCCATCTATCAAGTAGACATTCTCAATGGAGTGAGAGTCTGTCTTACCTACCTTTCCAACCCCAATAATCTCACCTTTCTTCCCATTTCCAAATGAGACATTACCTCCCTTTAAGTCCTCAAGTGAAAGGAACTGGTTCTTGCTTCCAGTCATATGTTTCGTGAAGCCACTATCCATGTACCATATTTGGCTACTTCCCTTCACTTGGACCTGCAAAGGAATCAAGGGTAAGTCTTAGGAACCCAAACTAGTTTAGGTCCCTTTCTATAGGCAAAGGGATAAATCAGATTTCTTCTGGCCCACCCAGGCAGCCTATCTTTTTCTTGAACAAAAGCTTTGTTCTTTTGACTGGCCTTTTCTTTTGCATTACATTCATTTTTGTAATGGCCAGTCTTGCCACAGTGTGTGCAGATTTTGTTCTCAGGAAGAATGAGGTACTTGCTTTTACGATCCCACTTAGGTGCTTGAGTCCCATAGCCAAGTCCTCTTTTGTTGCTACTGTGATGTTCTTGTAGCCAGGAGAGTGCATCGGAAGCCTTGTTCCATTTGCAAGTTCTATCTAGTTCATGTATTACTTTCCCTAGATCTTCTTTTAATACTCTTATGTGCTCATCCTTCCTGTACAACTCATCCTTCATTTTTCCTAAGTTTTCTTCTAGGGTGAGATGTGTGTGATCAGCTTTCTTCATTCCTGTTCCTGATTTCAGTTTTAAGTTCTCAGACCTAAGTTTTAGGACACTAGTGTCAAGTTCAAGAACCTGGTTCTTCAACTCAGCATTTTTACTTTCACTCTCATTAGCACCAGACTCTAGATTTTTGCACTTGCCTTTTAGGATCACACATTCCCTAGACAGTTCTTCCTTCTCATTGTTAATTATCTCAGTCTCATCAATGAAGTCTAGCAGTAGCTCAGACAACCTTTCTTTAGACAGGAATTTAATCTTGTCTTTGAGATGAAGAATATTTACCTCTTGTTCATCATCTGATTCTCCGATGGCCATAAGTGCTTGTTCATCTCCAGCTTCATCTTCTGAGTCCTCATTTGATGTTTCTCCCCAGGCAGAAACCATAGCCTTTGTTGATCCTTTGTTCGTTTTTTGTTGAACCTGTTCCTTCTTCCTGTTCCTTCGTTCAGTCCTTTCCTTCTTCCACTCAATTTCCCATTGAGGACAATTCTTGATCATGTGATCAGTCTTACCACATTTGTAGCAGCCCTCATTGGTCTATTTCTCAGGAGCCCATGGTTTGTTGAAGGTTGTACCTCTTGAAGAACCCTTTCCTCTCATCAGGTACTTTTTGAAATCTCTTGTGATCATAGCCATTTCCTCATCCTCCAGATCTGAACCTTCAGCAATTCTAAGAGCCAGACTTTTTTCCTTCTTGGGTGCATCCATTTTCATGGTCTGCCTTCTCTGTTCATAGGTAGTAAGGTTTCCAATTAGTTCATCCAGCTTAAGGGTAGCAATATTCTTTGATTCCTGAATAGCAGTGATTTTGCTTTCCCAAGAGACTGGCAGAACCCTTGTTAATATCTTCTCAACTTTGTCTTCTTCAAGGATAATCCTTCCAAGAGACTTAAGTTCATTTGTCAGTGTGGTGAATCTTGTATGCATCTCTTGGATGGTTTCTCTTTCCTTCATGGTGAAATTCTCATATTGAGAATACAGCAATGTTCCTCTGGACCTCTCCACTTGAGGTGTTCCTTCATGAGCCACTTGCAAAGTGTCCCAGATTTCCTTAGCAGTGGTATAACTTTGAATTCTACTATACTCATCTGGACCTAGTCCACACACAAGCCATTTCTTGACCTTGGAAATTCTTCTCCCATTTCTTCAAATCTTCAGCAGTGCAGTCAGCTCTTGTCTTTGGCACATCCACTCCTTCCTCATTCTACTTTGTAGTTGCCAAAGGACCATCAATGACTATGTCCCAGAGTTCATAGTCCTCTCCTATGATATGATCTCTCATCCTGTTCTTCCACAGGAGTAGTACTGACCATTGAAGAGTGGAGGCCTAGCAGTGGATTGCCCTTCCCAGTTCCCAGGTGGTGCACTCATCTTGATCTTTTCCTAAGGTGTTAACCTCCTCAAGGATAACCTACGTCGCAGGGTAATTAGGACTCGGTAATGCAGGGGCCGGTACAATCTAATAAGATAGCTGAGGGTGAACTCGAGCCCAGCTTTATGTGCAAAGTACCTTATCATCAGCACTATCCTCCAAAACGACGGGTGAACCTGTGCTAGGGTGATGTTCTAAACGTCAATACCACACAAGAGGGGGGGTGATTTGTGTGGTACCCAATTTTCTCTCTAGAAGAACCTGGTTCTTCTAGGTGTACTAACTACTACTGTTTGCGGAATAATAAGTGCATAAAATAAAGAACACAAATATTTTTACGTGGAAATAACCTGGCTCAAAAGGTGAAAAAACCATGACCTACTACTCAGTAGGATTTTCCCAAACTTCTACTAAAATCACTAGCCAAAACAACATTTACAAAACTCTTTGTAAACCTAAGGATAAACTCTAATCTCATTGTGGCACACATCCTCAACTGTTGCGACAACTTCAAGTTAGCTTATAACTTGAACACTCTAAGTACATAATACAATTGTTTCTATGAAAGTTGAAAGGTACAATTTTAAACCACTTACTACAATTGAACTAGAATAAAAAGAATACACAATGGAACTGATTCTTCTATCTTGTTCAAGTAGCTTCAGGAGTGCACACTCAAATCTCACAAAAATTGTTTGCAAAATCTCCTTGCTCTTTTGCTCTCAATTTAGTTTAACTTCTGCGTATGTGCAATACTTGTATAAGAGAACAATCACTGTCTTTTCATAGGTTAGTAATCAGAGCTTGATTGAGACTCAATTGCTGATCTTCTATCGTAGTTGTGTCCTTGAAGATCTCAAACTCCAACACTATCTTTATCCGGATTGTGTTCTCTTCATATAAGGAGACTTTATGCCCTTATCCAATATGCAACCTTTTCGATCAGATTAGGAGATATTGCTTCTTGATCAGTAGGACTTATCTCCTTCACGTGCATCTCACATGTATAGGTTGAGCATGACTATGCTTCACAAGATGGACCCGGTCCATGACTGAGTGCATTTGTCATTCTACCAAACTTCACCTGTTCTTGGGCCAACACAGGTAACCTGATATCTTCTAAATAACTCGAGCACGACCCTATCGAGAGGTTCCAATGTTAAGGTGTATGTGTATATTTTCAAAAACCCCTCGACCTTAGCCATAATGCTTTCTTCCGGGGAAGGTACCTGCAATACCACATTTTCTCCCCATCCGCAATTTTTTTTAACTGCCTTGAAGTGTTCCTCCCCTTTTGAGGAGTTAAACCTCGATGCATGCTCTCGATGGCCCTGAACATTGGGAGGTCTCTCTAATATAAAGTCCCTCCTCGAGACAAAACACCTCGAGGTTAACCCACCGGACACCGGCGGTGTACCACCGATCGGGTGCGAAGCAGAGGCAGAACTCACCTATTCAAAAGGACAATGAATTCTGACCATGTCAGTGCCACTTTTTGGAAAAGTGTACTGGTGGGAACCCCCCCCCCCCCTCCCGGTCTCTTCGCGGCCATATCACATAAATGACACTGTCATACAACGGCCGAGAGACATCGAGGTCTCGAGGTCTCGAGGATCCCGGTACTATAAGCTTGAACTCTAAAAAGAGCTATTAACCTAGTCTCGAGATGGTGCCCTATCTCGGGGGTCCTGATTACTCCAAGTATGGGCTCCGAAGATCCCATATCAAAATTCATAGGCTAACTTCGCATAAGCGCTGATACTAAAAAAATCAAAGATTTGAAGCAGAAGAGTCTTTTGACATTTCCGAAAATATATTTACAAGGGATGTCTTTACAAAGCCTTTTACCCCCGAGAAATTCATATACAAAAAAAGGAGAAGACAACGTGAGTCTATTCTTCACCTCACTACTCTCGAGTCGCCTTTGGAATCCTCGTCCGAAGTGGCCGAAAATGCCGATTCTTCCTCCTAGGTTCGGGCCTCTTCAATCTCAGATGAGAGATCAGTGCCTTTGGCACTTGCTTCCTCGAGAGCCTGCCTCCTTGCTTGCGAACCAGCGTAAACAATGGCCCGAGTCAGCTTCTGCTCGGCCTTCTCGTATGTCTCTCTAGCTCGTTCATTTGCGGTGGCGGAATCTTTCATGTATGAAGATGCATTTTCTTTTCCCTCAAACTTGGCCATGGATAGTGCAGCAGCCTCCTTCTGAGCACTTCGAAGAAGATCTTGGGTCGATGCCAACTCCGCTCGCAAAAGGTCCCTCTCCAAGGTCACGGCCTCATTCTGCCCCTTCAGCTTGAGGATCTCTGCATCCTTGGTTGCAGCCTCTTCCCGGAGTTGCCTCACCAGGGCATCCTTTTGCCCAATCTGCAAAGTCAAAACAAGTCGGTAAGCATCAAGTTATAAGAATAAAAGATGAGTTCATGGATGTCATGCTACCTGCTCAGCAAGGCCAGCCCTTTCCTGGCGCACTCCCTCCAAACTCACATGAAGCCTGCTCAAATCCTCCCCCTTTCGGGCAGAGAAGGCCTTCGAATCTTTCAGCTCTGAGGTGAGCTTCTCGAGCTCCTTCCCACAGCTTGAAGGCTCATCTTGAAGCCTAGAAAAGGCATTGTCATAAATTTTCTTAGCCTGCAACAAAGCAGAGAAGTTAGAAAGTCAAAGGCAAAGGTTTGAAGCGCAAACGTTATGTCAAAGAATATCACCTGCTGCTGAAGCCTCTCCGCCTCCTCGAGAGCGACGGGAGCATCGGGATCAATGTTCTCATCGACACCGTCGAAGAGGTCTCCGAGCACATCTTCCCCTCCATGAGAGGCCCCCACACCTGCGGTATACGGGTCTTGTGCATCCCTGATTTCCCTCGGTGAATACGAAGGGCCCAAATTAAAGCCACCCAGGGCATTAATTTCTCTAAGGGTCTCATCTTACCCCCGAGAAGCTTCAGGTTTAGGCCCTCCGAATCACCAGCAGCGGCTGCATTGGAACAGACTGTACCATGTCCGACTTGAAACTTGGCGATTGTTCCTGCACCCTCCTCGAGGGTCTCCTCGGCACGAATTTGGCCCATATCGACCAACCTCGATTCGGCAGCCTTCCGCCCATCAACTTATGGAGCATCCGCGCCCCGTCTAGCCCTTTGTTATGGGCGACCATCATCATCATCATCTTCATCCTCGGTACAGGGACTTGCCACAGCAGCTGAAGTTGAGACGGTGGCGTCGGTCCGACGCCTGAGAACATTAGATTTCTCTTATTTGGGAGACCCGGACGACGCTTCCTTCTTCCTCTTCCTGCCCTTCACGGGTTTCGAGGTCCCTTCCTCACCACCAGAAGATGTCTCATCAACACTCCATCCCCGAGGCCTACACAAGTGTGATGCATCAAACTTACCACCATAAAAGATACTCATAAAGAAACATGGTAAAGATAGTAGTAAAAAGCATACCGTGGTTCTTGGCCTGCCACTGCGTTCTGGCCAAGTCACGCCAGGAATGCTCGATATAAGGGAAAGCAGAACCAAACTGTCTGATCCATCCCGATAGGTTCTGAACCGTGCCAGGGTACCAGGCGGTGGCTGCATTATCAAAAGAAGATCATTTTTAGAAGGGGAAGAAAGGGAAATAAAACGTGCTCGAGGTAGGGGCACTTACGCTTCACATTCCATTCCTCCGGGAACGACATCCTGTTAGCCGGGATGATATCCGAGGTCCTCACTCTGACAAACTGGCTCATTCACCCCCGGTCCTTGTCCTCATCGATGCTTGAAAAGAACGTCTTCGCAGATTGAGGATGAAGCTTGATCAATCCTCGAAAGAGACGGGGGCTATATAATATTACCAAATGATTAAGGGTGAAGGTCATACCCCCGACCTTGTTGGAAAAATATCGGAGCATGTAAATGATCCTCTAGTTAGAAGGATATATTTGGCTGAGCGTCACCTGGTACTCACGACAAAAGTCGAGAATCACCGGATCTATCGATAGGGAAGAAAGATCCGAAGAATCTACGGGACCCAGAGTAAAGGGGTATGTAGATACGCTGAGGAAGCCAACTTTATGGTCTACTATGCTTTCCTCAAGATTAAGGATCTCAACTAACACTGCCTCCCCCTATCGGCAGTCTTCCTTCACTCTATGTGTATCGGTCACCACGCTGATGTACCGAGACACGTGCTCACATCGGCCCGGTGAGTAGAGGGGGATTTTCGATGGAAAAATTATAGACCGTATCGAATTGGCCGGGATTACGTTGCTCGACAGTTGGGGGTACTTTTGGTTTACCCCTGGATGGGCGAGATGAAGAAGTTGCGCCCACTTTCTGAGGCACCGTTCTAGAGGTTCTAGCCATGACTATAAAAAAGGTTTATGACAAAGAAAGTGAGGAAGCAAGCGCAGAAGGGAGAAGAATGTAAAAGATGGTGAACTTAGCTCTAGAAAATTGAAGATGTTGCAAAAGTGTGAATGACAAAATGATTGAGGTATTTATAGAAGCCATATGGGCAGCGTTTGAGGAGCGAAAAGGTCGAACCAATAGCGGTTCGCGGGTTTCTCGATAGTCGCATTGATAGTGACCCCTGCGCAGTCATTGAGTCATAGAATTTAATGCTCTGATGGGCTGAAGTCATGATGGTAGTATCGAAGAAACAAGAGTTGAAGATCGTCTCTTATCATTTTCATTCTAAAAAATGCGGGGACTATCTGTAAACGGCAAAAATCAGGGAGTCCGATTTTATGGTTATTATGGCACTTCGTAAGATCGCCCCCAGAAGGCTCGAGGATCAGTTCGAGGTTCGACCCCGAGGGTTCTCAATGTTCGACCTCGAGGTAGTATAAATCGGTGGTTATGATGGTAAAACGGGAAGTTCCCAAAGCACGTGGGTGAAGCTAACCACGTCTATTAGGCTAGTACAAGCCCGTACCGTGGCATTGAATGGTTGTACCAGCCGTGTATCTTTGTAATAAATGCACATGTACTGTGTTGGGATTCCCCCTCCTATATAAAGGGATCCTTGTTAGTTTTGGCACACACAATATATTGAATACAAGGACAACAACATTCTCTTCTCTCTAACTTAATCATATTCTCCTTTGCGTTTATTGCTTGTATTTATTACATTACTTGTATTTATTGTGTTTCATTGATTGTTCTTAATTTATTACTCGTCATTGATCATAAAGAGTCCCCATCAAAGCTCTTAGAACAGTTAATCCTTCATCGGATGTCCTCAGCCAAACGTTCAGCTCTATGTCGAGGTCCCGTATAGCCTAGCTCGAGGCCCCGAACCTCAGTCACTCAGTTTGCTTGACACACTATCTTCAAGCCTTTATCTTATTTTCTAGTCTCACACTTAGCATCTATTGCCTAACAACTAGCATAAAAATAAATCACGTATTTTTAGAACCGCAAAATAAAATCTAATTGTAATTACCATTTTCAATGTGAACAAAGAGTTAATTGAGTTTGACTTTTGTATATTTGACGTTGGATCAGAGCTTTTTATTATTATGTTAGGTCCGAATGGTGATTTTGGACTTGGGGTATGTCCGGATTTGCATTTGGATGTTTTATAGTTTCAGCACTATATGGCGAAAGTTGGCAATTTGAAGGTTGAAAAGTTTATAGGTTTGACCGGGAGTTGACTTCAATGTTATCGAGTTTGAATTGTTATTCCAGGAGTTATAATAGGTTCGTTATGTCATTTAAGGTGATTCCATGTTGTTTAGACGTGTTCGGCGTATGTTTGGAATTTAGAAATTTAAATAGTTCATTGAACTTGATTTGAGGTGTGATTCATGGTTTTGATGTTGTTATGTGTTGTTTAAGGCCCCCGAGTAGGTCCGCGTTACGTTTTGGGACTTATTGGTATGTTTGGACAAGGTCCCGAGGGGCACCGTGAGTTTTGGGTGGTTCCAAACCATTCGTCTCTATTTGGCATTACAAGTTTTCTACTGATTCTGGAGCTTCAGGTCTTCTTCATGATTGCGAAGGTGAGGACGTGATCACGTAATATTTTGAGAGCTTCTTGTTATTTACTCAACACGTTCGCGAGGGTAAGAGCGCGTTCGTGAAGGGTTGAGATGTTTGTTCTTCGTGTTCACATAGGTTGATCGCAATCACCTCTTAGCGAGGGAGCTGGGGGTTTTGGTCATCGTGTTCGCACTAAAGTGAATGCATTCACGAAGGTCTGGCACATGTGGTCACCGCGTTCGTGTGGGAAATGCCACAGATGAATAGTGTAATTTGTGGCAGTGTGATTATGTTCATCGCGATCGCGCAGGTATAGACGCGATCGTGTAGGGTACCATGTGGCATTGCATATAAGTACTCTATTTCGGACCTTGGGCATATTTTATCTCATTTTGAGTTATAAAGCTCGGATTTTGGCAATTTTGGAGGGGATTTTCATCGCATGAATTGAGATAATTATTTTCTACTCGAATTTAATTATTTTTTATGATTCCATCTTTGATTTTGGTATTTAATTGGTGAATCTAAAAGAGGAACTAGGGGTTTTGTCTAAAGTTTTCTAAAGCAAATTATTGAGTTTTGAACATCGATTTGGAGTCGGATTTAAGTGAATTTAGTACGGTTGAACTCACATCTGAATGGGTACCGGAATTTGTGAGTTTTGTCACATTTAAGTGTGCGCATCTGGGTTGACATTTTGGTTGACTTTGAGTATTTGATTAGAAATTTGACCTTTATCGTATGGGTTTGATTCCTTAGGTATAATTTGATGTTTTTGAGATTCATTTGGATAGTTTCGAGATGTTCTAAGGTCGATTCAAGCGGGATGGAGTTTCTAGAGTATTGGTTTTGCTTGCTTGAGGTAAGTATCTTTCCTAAACCTTGTTGAGGCACTTGTTGCCTGAGTTATTTGTGATAGCTACATGCTATGAGTGGCGCACATGTGTGGGGATAAGCCCATGTGCATACATCAGGGTATTATCCATACTCGGGATACTTCTTAGGCTATGATATGCCTTGAATTGATCGATAAGCTTCATATTGTAATGTTTATCTTATTTGTACCCCTATTGTGAGCTATTTGTTCCAAGTTTAAGGATACATAGAGGCTAATCTCCTGATTAAACCTGATAGTTGATATTTTGTGATGTTATTATCTGATTTGAGCAATGAAATCACACGTCCACATACATATACCTTAGCATGTCACTTATATCGGTTAGGGAGTATGAAATTTTATGTTATTTGATTATGTACATGTATTCTTGCATATCTGTGTTGTGTGTGATATGGATTGGACTAGTAGCCTATGACTACATTGGGCAGATTGTGATATTGTGCATGTGACCACACAAGGCAAATTGTAATATTGTAAATATGACCACACTAGGCGCATTGTGATATTCTACCAGTGACTACGCCGCACAAATTGTGATATAGCATGCGACCACACCAGACAGATCCGTGATACTGAGCCTATGACCATGACACGTGGATTATGATATCGATCATGTGAAAATTCCGGGATGATTGCACTTGACAACATCGTACAGCTTGTGGATATAGATACATCACCCTAGGGTCTGTAAGGCTCCGTGAAATTTTTACTTAAAAACCCGAGACCTCGTAGTGCCAAGTTAGAGCGAGCCGCGGTTCAGACCCTTTGGACTGATCAGTGCATCGAGAAGTTAAGGAATAATATTTTTCCAGAAAAGTGTGTTTCTGCGGTCCATTATGCGATCGCATAATGACTATGCAGACCGCATAGTCGTCGCAGAGTCAGACAGTGTGTTGTTCAATTTTGAGGTCAATATGCGGCCAATTATGGGATCGCATAATCATTATGCGGGCCGCATAGTCATCGCATAATCCCCTTGGTATTTTTGCGAGGGGCAGTTCTGCGGTGCATTATGTGACCGCAGAACAGGTATGCGGACCACATTCTTGTTGCATGCCCGGGCAGTTTGATCAGATTTTGGGGACCATTTTGCAGTCCCTTTTCCGGGCCGCAAGTCCGTTATGCGATCGCAGATCTAGTCGGGGCCCCTATTTTCTGACTTTTAAAACCCGACCCCATTCCATTAAAAACACCCCCTAGA